GGTCAGGTCTCTTTTTTTCGGTGGCAAAGCTAGCTGAGAGTCCAGCATTGCATCACATGGAGTTAGGGTTGTTCCCCACTCTCCAGCATTCTTTTGCACAGAATTGCACGAGATTGGCACAAAGTCATCTAAACCTTTTATCAGTCCCTCTCTCCACTATGAGACCTTTATGTGATTCCCAGCTATTTATTTTAGACAGATAATTCTGTATTAGCAGAAATGTTGTTACTTGACTATTCACTGCTTTCCCCAATCGGAAAACCCTGTAAGACTCCATCAGTAATCTTCTTCACTGTGGAGCCCAACCATTCATTCTTATTTTTCCCTTTGTCTTTTAACTAGCAATTAGTCTGTGAGAAGAGTCTGTTTAAGACTTCTCAGTGAAGACTCTTGTTAACAGCATTTTGAAAAAACCCAATATGTTCTATTAACCAGCATTTTCACTGACTCCTTCGAAGAACTTTCCAATAGACTTGTGAGGCATTGCTTCCCCTTGTAAAATGAAAATACACTTCCTCCATCTCTTCCTTATTGTCTCATGCATTTCCATTTAGCCACTAATCTATTCTTTACTAGAACTTCTGCCAAAGAACTTCCTTCTGCTTCAAGGACTTTTTAAATAATTGATGTCATATGTGCCAAATTTCATTCCTCTCCAGTTAGTAACTCAGCAATGTCTTACTTGTGTTATTTTCAAGTCTTGAGTGAATACCATATGCTCACAATGTTTATCATTTCTCATATTAATGTGTTCTAATGTCTTTTATTGAAGCTGTGGTTCACCAGTAAAGCAAATCCAGTGCTAGCAATACTAACACCAGACCAAAAACATTACAGCCACATGAATGCCAGTTCAAATGTCTTCAGAGAACTGTCTGGTTGGTTTTGCACTGGCAGTCTCTATGTTGTACAACATATCATTTGTCTTTCAACACCCTGCATAAAACCAGCATAAAGTCCAAGTTATGCATGCTTACTAAATCAACAGAAATACATTCACCTGCCCACATCTGAACCAGATGAAACTTGTACTGATGGATTATCTGCTAGTGATCTGCCTGCTTCCATAACAATGGAACATCAGCCTCACACTTCATTTGGCGATTATTTTCATTATAAGATAGGCCTAAAAAGCTCAAAGCTCCATTTTACATGGGTTCAAAACTGATTACATAAATTCATGGGAGAACGCCCATTAGGATGCACTGCAGATTACTGGAATCTGCTACCATATAACGTTGAAGTGTATCTGTATGCTAGCCCTAGTTTATTCTTCTTTAGGCATGTGCGAATGGTCACAATTGGATCCAGACACTAAGCAAGAGAGACTGAATTTGATCTACTACCACCATTCCCATGTGGTCATTAAGTTTTACTTGTCCCAAAAAATCCTTTTTGCTCCAAAAGGCTATTCCAGTCTCACTATTCCAAAACTTAGTTATATCTTATCTCCCAGTTATTCCCCACCTCCCTCCACATCAGAATACACAAGAACTTCCTGTGGACATCAGACCATGTTCTCTGTTACCTTAGAGTTCTCTCCAAGAAACAAAGCTTAGTGGGAGAGGAGAGATCAAAAAGGCCAAGGACAAGTGTAAGGAGTTAATTTGCAAAGGCCAGGACAAGTGAGGTAGTGAGGAGCACTGTGTACTCTCAAAATCCCCTGCTTTCTAGTCCTCCATGCCTTGGACAGCCACAGGAACACATAGTTATTCTGAGACCAAATTCTTCTGCATCCCCAAAATATATCTACATTTTTAATGTATCTACAGCCAGAATTAAGGCAACATCCACATGAATACAGATAAGCAAAACACCTGAAAGTGGAAATCAAGACTGAGAGGTTAATGATTAGTAACATACTAGCTCCCGATGTATCTGATAGGGGGAGAAAAACCTAACTTAAGTATCTCAGTTTGGGGTGGGGATTTTTTGTTGGTTTTGTTTTTTAAAGAAACCTGTGGTATTTCACATCTGTCTTTGAAAATCTTTTGTCCTTTTCTCTTTACACAGAAGAAGCTACCTCAAAGTAGAATCCCAAGTAGTCATGCCTACTGAATATACATGCAGTCATGCTGCTGCTGGAATAAACTGCACTTACCAGAATAGAGCACAGAATAGGCTACAAGTGCCTTTCTATATAATACCAAACCCCAAATATCTGAAAGTTTAGAAATCCAGACCTAAGCTTGTCCTGAGCCACTGTAGCACTGTCCCTGTGTCAACATCCTAGGAGGACAAGATAATCACCTCCCATAGATATAATATGCATGCATATTATATCTATCTCGAAAGAGTTCATTCCAACATAAGAAAAGGGAAAAAAGTTTTACACTGTTTCATCTATATTTCCTGGAATTCCAGGTATCTCAAATACGATGATTAGGCAGATGAATACAAATACAAACACAGAATCTTACACAATATATCCATACTGTATCTACCCAGTTACTAAGACTGCAATGCAAAGACAGCACCTTCTAGAATAGGAACAGTTAGACCCCACAACACATCAAAGAAGACCTATTTAACAAAATCAGGCAGTATATTGCCCTACAGTTTTGCTCAATATTAATCATCAGGCCACTAACTTTGAGGTGTCCTTTGCTACAGTATTTATTGAAAATCCTGTGGCTTGGAAGTATCTGTAGTGTAGCACACTATGCTTTTACGCTGTTCCTTGGCGTGGTGATAATTAACCAAGATACCAAAAGAGGTAAATTAATAAATCAGTAATAGATATAAGTGTGCATTTTTATAAATTTGTTCTGAATTTGGGGTGCAGCGGCAGAAAATAAAGAGATAAATCTGTTTAAGAAAAATCATTCCGTAAACAGAACCTACAGAAAGCCTGTGGAGTCACTACAGTCTAGGGGACAGAAGAGAATACTGACAAATCACTGATTCACAGTAAGTTATTATTTTTGAAAGCTACTTTATGAGTGAGAAAGTAAGTTATTGCTGAAATGCCCTCAGAAGGAATCTCTTCTGTGTGCCAGGTTTTAAAAAAAGTCTTATTCAAAGGTTTTCCCTACTTTTACTTCACTCCAGAAAGAACAAGAAAAGACATAACAGCTGTTTCCCAACTTTTATCTGCCTGTTTGGGGCTGGGGGGGAGCAGCAGGGACACAAGCCTGAAGGGAGAATGCTTAAAAAGGAACAGCAGAACAAAAACTTTCAGGTAACTAATATCAGGTCTTAAAAATTAACTGAGCACAGAACCCAGTAGAGGAATGACACACAGGCCTGCTCCTCAAAGTAATTTATAATTCAGCAGCCTTTCAGAAGTGATCACCACTGTCAGACACCATCTCTTCATTTTCATTTTATAGACATTTCAAAAATGCATTTAATAGAGTGTGCCACTTTTAGGTCACTGACTATCTCCTTTCATCTCTTTCAGATCTCTCTATGACCTGGAATATAGTTCTGCTTTGTGCTCTGGTGGGATCAAGAGCAAAGGAATGATATGCAGCTCAAAAGAAACAAAATAATTTTAATATGGTACCCTAGTGTTTCAGCTGTTAGCAAAAGAGTATCAGGGAACCTGTCAGTACCACTGACATGATGAATCAATAAAATTACCATGGCACTAATGAAATGCACCTGCTTTCATAGTCAAACCAAAAAAACCCCAAACTTATCACAGTTAACTGTTATTATTCTCTCTAGACATTTTGATTATAGTCCCCAGAAACGTCATTGGAATTTTATTGCTACATAGAGAAACCGCTTCAAATTAGAGAAGAATTTATCCATTAACACAGAAAAAGTTGTAACTGTAATTACATCCCAAGTTCAGGAAGGTACTTGCCACATATATAAGCTTAATGAAACATAGAAAATTCAATCTACAAACTGAATACAGTCTGCAATAACTCATTTTCAGCCTTGGTAAGCAAGCATGATTATCACTAGTTGAAGAATGTATTGTAAGTATTTGTCCTGGTTTCAGCTGGGATAGAGTTAACTGTCTTCCTAGTAGCTGGTACAGTGCTATGTTTTGAGTTCAGTATGCAAAGAATGTTGATAACACTGATGTTTTCAGTTGTTGCTCAGTAGTGTTTAGACTATAGTCAAGGATTTTTCAGCTTCTCATGCCCAGCCAGCGAGAAAGCTGGAGGGGCACAAGAAGTTGGCACAGGACACAGCCAGGGCAGCTGACCCAAAGTGGCCAACAGGGTATTCCATACCATGGGACGTCACATCTAGTATAGGAACTGGGGGGAGTGGGGGCGGGGAATCACCGCTCAGGGACTAACTGGGTGTTGATCAGTGGGTGGTGAGCAATTGCACTGCACATCATTTGTACATTCCAATGCTTTTATTATTGCTGTTGTCATTTTATTAGTGTTATCATTACCGTTATTAGTTTCTTCTTTTCTGTTCTATTAAACTGTTCTTATCTCAACCCATGAGTTTTACTTCTTTTCCTGATTCTCTCCCCCATCCCAATGGGTGGGGGGGGAGCGAGTGAGCGGCTGCGTGGTGCCTAGTTGCTGGCTGGGGTTAAACCACAACAGTATTCATACCTGAAAGAATTTACTGCATCTTCCTCAACAGGGTCGATCAAACGTTCTGATAAGAAACCAATTGCTTGCAACATGGAATGTGCATGACAAAATAAATTATCAAAAGGGACACATTCCTTAGAACTCATGGGAACACATTGGGAAGCATACCAACAGGATGCTCCGTACTTTTTGAGTCAGAATTATGGAGCCAAATAAAATGTAAACTTACTTTTTTTCCGATCCACTTTTTGTGGCACAGATGGACGGGTAGGACCTAATACTGGCAGAGTGGTCATCCTCTCTGTGTTGTTAAAGGATGCATCTGCAGACCACAAAGTCACCTCCTTTGCAGTGGCAAACAGCTGGGTGCTGTCTTCAGAGCCTTCTGCCAAAGCAGCATCATACGTAGGGTGAGGATTGAGTACTGTGGCTTGAGTTGTGAGAGCAAATGAATTTTCCTGGAAAGTCTCTCTAAATATATTTGAGTTCTTGTTTATTTGGTCAATGTGAGATAAAGGCGCAGTGGTCCAGGAAGAGGGCAGTGTGCCGAGATCCATTGTGGCCTCAATCTTGGAACTGTTTTCAACCATGTTTGGCAAAAGAACATCAGATGTTTCAATGTCACCGTTAACTGTGAGGATCTCGCTTCCATTTGAATAAAAGCATGTTTTTTCTAACACCCCTGAAAGCAAGGAAAAAAGCACCAAAATTAACATCACCTGGAAGGACAAGTGTTACCAAATTGTTTTGGAAGGTTAATAACAAATATAATGGCACAGATTAAAAAAGTAATATTTATTTCAAAGTTTAATTTAAAGAGAACTAAAGTCAAGAATTTCATGTTATATATTCAACAAAACAGCAGTAGCACATCAAAACAAAAGCTATGACTACTCTAGCATAAATAGAGAAACATATAAACCCTTCCATGAACTAAAAATGTTTTAATCTTACTTGTAGTAGGCCACTGAACTCTTACACGTTTATAACCATAGAGTGTAATTTCAGGGAGCTCCAACATGCATTCGTTCTATCATAGTGTTAACCAAGATTGGCAATACTATTTTTTTTTCTCTTTTTAAATTGCATCATCTCTTGTTTTCATAGTACCACCATCTTCTGAAAGCTAATTCTGACGCTTCAAGGGAACCGATACATTTTTAATATATTTTATATTCACTAACTTTTAAAATGGAAAGAGGTATTGTTTTCTCTATATAGGATTACATAATTTAACTACCACTGCTAAATATAGGTTCACGAGTTCTTTGTCATTCTTCTCTGATACTGGATTTTAAATATATAGTTGTATCCAAAATTTTAGGCACTTCCTGGGGTTTCTTTGTTGTTGTTGTTTGTTTATTATACCATAGACAAACACAGACTTTGCTTAGTTTTGTGTTGAACAGTTGCAAGTAATTACAGTTCACAAATCAAAACAGCTGCATAAAACTAACAAGATGCATCCCATAAGCATCAGCAAATTCAAACTAATAGTAAGAGAATCTATTTTTAACCTGTGACTATTAGTGAAATATTTAATTAATCCAAATAATAAAGAAGGCATCTCAAACCTATATAGGACATATAACTTAGTTATCTATAATAAAAACTACAAATACTAACTGAAATTTTTTAACCAAATGTACTAGAGTCATATTTAATGCTAGAAGAGAAGCACCATTCTGTATCACAATATAAGAAATTTTTGGTAAATAGCAAAAGGAATTTTTGCCACTAGCCAGTCATGTAAAAGAGTTTAACAATCATAATAAACACAGTTCAGCCAGACTTGATTACAAATAATTAAAAGGAATCCCCCAAAACATAAAATCTCCCAACAGCTTTTAAATACCCTGGCAACAGTTGATAATTTTAATAGCTTTTCTTGTTGTCTACTCCTAACAGTGATATTTAATCATTCCTCTCATATTGTTTCAAGACAATAAAGTAAAAAACAAGGGAAGGAAGAATATTTGTCCTTTCAATGATGGGATACAAACACAACAGCATTTCCTTAGCCAAAATCCAAAGAAAAGGTCGAAAACACAGGTTCCTCCAGCTGGGCTCCATGTGGAAAGAAGAGAGTTTTCTGCTTAGCCTTTCAGCTCCTTTTCTTCTCTCTCACCCTTACTGCTAGCTACAGGCCCTCAAGACAGAAAGATGGTCACATCTGAAGCACATTAGCAGGAATTCACCTCCTGTTGTTCTCTACAAACCCTCTGTACTCAAGGCAAATCACGCAGTTTCTTCTTTCTGCTGTGAAGTGTAAATCGTTTTTTCCTAGAGTTTCATACTGATTTGAGCCTTCATTAGCAGCTTGGTACAGATGACTCTTCGAGTCCACGCAACACCCACCACTATCTCCCCTGAACTTCGTTTTCAGTTCGGTTACTGCATTTACCAAGATGGCTATTCACATGATCCCCTCTCAGCCAGGCATCGTTCACCTGCCACCACTCCAGCCTCTCTTCCCAGCCAAACCCACCACTCCAGGCACCACACACAGCCCATACCCACTGAGCCCCTTCCCACTGCTGTTATTGAATTCCTTTTCTCACCCCTTCATGCACTCTGCAGCTAGACTAAATCAGTTGACTGGTCTGAAATTCAAGGACTGGCCAGGAGGAAATCTTTATTAATCACAGCTACAAGTAACTAACAATGCCAGAAGAATCCAACTTCTAGTTACAGTCTGAAGTAACTTAGGGTTGCAAAGCTTTATAGGTAAGAAGAAAAGAGAACTAGAATAGCTAAGAAAGGGCAATCTTAGTATTTCCTCTTTCACTGAGTAACTTTTATCTGTAGCAACTGGAACCAGCAAGAAAAACTTGTAAGATTCCTGAAATATAACCTGCTTCAATGAAACAGTTACCATTTGAGATTTACCATGTCCTCATTTATCCAGTTTAGGTTGTTTTGGCTCCTGTGTCACTAACTGTGAGTAAATCTTTGTGTCTGACTTCTACTGGAAGAACCCAGGGGAACTTTATATATATACATGTTAAGGTTTCTGTTTTTCCACCAGCAAATGTTCATAATTCATTGGGATTTGGAGGAATTTACTGAGTGTATTTTACAGAAGCAACTAAAAATCTCCCACCTGCAAATTATTTCAGCAGCTTTTTTTTTTTTTTTTTTTTTTTTTTAGAGTCCTCTGGTCAGGCCAAATGGGAACAATGAATGTGCTCTGGTTTCACAAATAGGGACCAGTAGTAATATGATTTGCTAAAATCTAAGACTTTGTGACAGATAATGCTCAGAAATTGTGCTCACTCTTATGTAGCTTTACTTGGATGCTTCGATTCCAAATAAAGCTTTGAATCTCTATGATTCAGAAGCCTACTTTGTTTCAAGTTTCAAACTTCAGTAGTTTTTTTCTGTAGTTTGCAAAAAGTTAAAATGAGCTTTTTTCCTCCTTTGGAGGTAATTTTTTTCCATAACTCAAGAATAGCTGAGGGGATTTTTTTCACATTCTCTCTCCTCCTCCCTAGGCTCACCTCTTCTCCTCCACTCAACACAATAGAAAAAGCCTGCAAAATGTTGGTCCCAAAGAGCTATGAATAATGATTTGAAGTCAAAGTAACAATTATTAGCTATTTATATATCACTCAGCAGAATAGCAGGCAATACATTACAAGATAGGTAAACTCTTGAAATTTAAAAAAACCCTTTTGGTTTAATATAGTGGACCAATAAGCACTGTTAAGGAAAATACTGAAGTTACCCACTGGATTCTATCCTCTCCCCACTCAGCCTTATTTCATGCTTTTTCTGGAATTACAAGTAATAGCTATGTCTTTCACTACCCATAAGGTGAATTACTTCTTTCACTGAGATCCCCAAATGTTTGTTTGCTTCTTCAACCCATCTTTCCAATAATAATGTTTTTTGTTCTATTTTCACAGTTTCCTAGTGAAAACTCCCCTTCTCTTCTTGACAGGTGCACCACATAATGAACCTCTTCTACACAAAAGCCCTTCCCAACTGTATCATCTCAGCTGACAATGAATTGTATTAGAACTCTTTTCAATAGTTGTTTTTTTTCCCCCACAAAATAACATGAGCCTGGGCTCTGGTGCATATGCCCTTGAGAGAGGTAGGTGTAGACCTCTGTTTGGCATTCCCTGCTGGCTCACTCTAGATGACAACTCTGTTGTGGTTAGTATGTGAGGGTTTTGGATCACCTTCCTGAGTCACCTTCTTCTCCCCCCACATTTTCCTCCTATCCTCACTTCTTCCCAATGCATGGTAGGGAATTCAAGCACTCAATTCCAGGCTACAGAGTCCACTCTCTGAGTTAGGCTCCCATTTGCTTTGATTCTCATACTTCCCCCCCTAAAAATACCACTGTATATCTTCAGTCTTAAATTAAGCTTACTGGAGATTTTTATAGCATCAAAAGCCCTGAAGGAACTATTTAAATTTTAAGATAGGTAAGAAAACAGTGTGATACTTCAAAACAATCAATTCTCTTTTAATATCTTCAGTAATGAGAACTGAATTACTCTACCAGTGTCTGCTAACAGCCATACAACACATACAGAACATGCATTTTATTCATGTATACATGCACACTATATCCAGCTATTCTTCCAATGTGAGTTCATATAGAGCTGTAGACAGTAAATCATAAGCCAGATAGTTAACTGGTTGAGAAATAGCTGTAACCATTTTGGATTTGTGTCTCTAGCTACAGCTGGACATGTCCAGATGACAGAAATATACAGCATGCTGGCCTTCATTGTATTTGGTACCAAAATGAGGAACTGGCACCCGGTCATTCAGTTCAAAGCAATGCTTTGCCAACAGTTTTACTGATAATTTTCCAGTTGGTGTTCACTATTGGGGAATTAATGTTTTATTGAAAGATCTGAAATGGACAGTTATGAGATCTAAGAAATAGTCACACTGTTCAAGCTATTAAATTGAGATTTTGGCAGTGTATACTGTGTGATTTCTAGCAGTTCACAGCAGGAAATCTCAAAAAGACCAAGTTTGTTTAAAAAGCTAATGAAACAGAGCAAAGCAGCCTACCAAAGTATGTGCAATGGATGAGGCAGTTACACAGGGAATAAACCGCTGGTTCACTACTATAACTAGCCAGCACATATCCACTGAGATTTCTTCTGCAGGGTCCGTCCCTATGACTCTGCACTCTGAAGAAACAGGCACATCACTGATAATATGGAGGTCCCACAGCATACCAAACCACTGCGCATCAGTTGAGCTCCAGTAATAGACTTTATCCTGCTCCTCCTGTCAAGTAAAGACATTACCTTAAACTGCTTACTAGCTGCCCAAGTGGCCAAAGAGGAAGTCAGTTCTAATTTTTTTTTTCAACTTAACAGGTGACTTATGCAAATAATGGATCAGTTCCCAGATAAAATGGAACAAAAAGTAGACTTTGTGGACGGCATCTTTTAAAGAAGCTGCACAACAAAGCCAGGCTCCTAAGGTCCTGTGCAGAAAGGAGAGATTTTCCCTTTCATCAACTCCTGGCTTTCAGACAACAAAGTCTCAGCAAAAATATCAGGATCATATTAAAGGGCTGGAGGGGAAGAGAGTAGCTACCTTTCATATTAACAGCTGTTGTTGCCTGAAAGTTCCCAGTTACAATCATAACTCTGTGGTCTAAGAAAAAAATCTTACCTTTTTTCCCCTGTCTCTTGAGCATGATGT